AGTGTTAATGCATTTATGCCCTAGTTTCACACAGTGGGTGTCACTATTGAAGTGTCAGGAAGGAAGGTTAGAGCTGCTTTTTCAGACTGTTCCTGTCAGCCTCAGCAGTCCGGTTTGGATGAAAACATCCCAGCAGAACACAGCCTGAAAGAAAGCTGGATTTTAAACAGCACAGCAAAAGTCTTTGTGCTGTATATGATTAAAATGTAACATTGAATAGGTCTTTTTCCCGGCCTGAGTCAGGGAGGATGGCTCCACTGTGTAAAAATTACAGGGTTTTTTTGCAGAATGACAGAAGTTTTATAAGTCTTTAATGTAGTTAAGAGACCATTTTCCATGGTTTTCTCATTTTTCAATGCTGTTTTCTCTGACAAGTCCCCCAGCACAAATCCTGACAGGTACCATTCCAGTTGTGAGAGCTGACAGGGGACAGCTGGCCRTCCACCACAGTGGGACCCCAAAGCAGTGGGGCAGCAGAAATGGCCAGAACCAAAACCCAGTAGGATCCAGACACTGTTTGATTTGAACCATTCTGTGTGAGTCATGCTAATTTTAATAAATAATAACAGTTATTTGGGGAGGGGAAAACCAATTACCAAAAGCAGCCTTACTATAATTTCAAAGCATTACCCAATTACTTTAGTACAGTTCCATTTAGAGAGAAATCTAGATTAAGTGCACACAYTCAGCGCTGTAACCCACCCAGATAAACTAACCCTGTTTGCAAATTAACACTGCAGAAAAAGTGAAAAAATACTGGCCAGATCAAACAATAACAGAATTAAAGCACAACAGCATGGCTTACAGGAGTGCTCTAGCAGCATCCTTGGGAGGCTGCACTGAAGAGGAGATGCCATTAGGCAGGTAMAACAGCAGAAGTATTAGATTGCAGTGTTAGAGCTGCACCCACCTCCCTTGCAGAGCTTTTAAAATGTCACAGCAAGGCAGCAATATCAGCGTGCTGATACGAGATTAAGACCCCTTTTTGGACAGAAAAAGGATAATTATTTTCTCCTGGAGAGTACCCATAAATTAATTTTATTCACCCAGACCACCTTTGTCATTGCTGGAAGCTGATGCTGAAGGACCACAGGCTCTGCCCTAGATGACACCACATCGCATGCAAATCTCCAGCTCAGAGCGGTGGTAACTGCACAAGATATAATGTCTTGTGACATGGTGAAGGTCAGATTAGACTATTTGACCTTCAGGCTAAATTTATCAATTCGGTGAAATATATTAATAACAGTTTTTAATTAAGACAACATAATAGAAAGAGCAATACTGCTTGGTCCATTGCAGATCCGTATTAAAGTACAATATTCATTTAATGACTTTTGTACATGATCTAGTTAAAATTAGCCGGGAGAGCTGTTGCTGTAACACATGGGTAATGCAAGCAGAAAGCTGAGACTCACCAAGCGAAGCCTCTGCACTTCATTACAACCGCAGCAGCCTCAGCAGGGCCAGACACGCCAGTGGGGAGTAACACAAGAGGGAAAGCTCGAGGATCCTGCATGCTACAACTCACAGGCCTTAAGGAACAAAATGCAGCTCATTACCCTGGTATTGTTTTGACAGAAACAAAACCCAAATTACTCATTTGCTGCTGCTATTTCCACTCCATCAGCAGTCGGGTACGCCTGAGTCGGTGCTGGAYGCTCTGCCCAGGGTGGTGTTAGGCAGTGCCAGGCTTTCCCAGGCTCTGTGCAAGACCCAGCTGCCACAGGGACAAGGGGGACAAATCCAGAAAAATACTCTTTTCTACTCCTTTTCTGCATACATTAATCTACATGCTTATTCCTGTTTACATTATGAGGTGTATGTCATAAAAGAGCTTACAGGATGTGTATTGCAGCCAAGTTAATATTGCTGTTGGAGCCTCAGTCTCTGTGTTTCCTGACTTAACATTGCCCAGTTAAAACTCCTTTTTAAAAAAAAAAAAAAAAAAAAAAAAATTTGCATTTGTCTAATGGTGTCAATTAGCGGTTTGAACCCATTTCAGGTAAGAATGTTGTGTAGAGCACCAACGAGCACCTGCAGGAAAACTAGCAAGAGAACAAGTCCTATACTGGAGACAATAATATTCAGAAGTATTAGTCAATATAGAAATGTGTACAAACACAGTAAAGAAGCTACTTTTAGCAATAATATTCAGAAGAGTTTAGAAATGTGCCTGCATTATGAGACCTTTTTACATATTACTTTGGAGAAACCCAGAGCTTTTCTTTTAGGGCAGCTCAACTGTCCTTTCAGGAGACAGAGTGTGCTGTGTACAAGAACTGTAATCTTAAAAAAAAAAARKWKTTTTTCYACAGATGTCATGACTTGGATTTTAAAGGCAGGAAGCATTTCCCAATGCTTGTGCAGATGAGCTAAGGCAGATGGACCTTATATTAAAGCCTTCCCTACCTCCCAACACAAGCACRCACTCCTGTACCCAGCCAAAATCCTACTCAGAGATGTTTCCCATTTCACAAAGCTACTGAAAAGCTAGCAAAACACCCATGGCAATACCATGAAGACATGCAACACCTTATAAATTTGACCCTTACAACATCAAGGCTTGATGTCAGCAGCATTGCCAAACAACCCCTGTTGTTGTAGATAGCTGCAGCTCTCTGCATTCCTAGGAAATCCTTTGCAATACCACTTGGACTCTGACCTTCTCTCCCTACTTCAACTCATTCGAGAAGAGTCAGTGTCTCGATTTCTGCCCTGGGAGTCATGAGCATCCCTGGCTGGAGCCAGCCCTGCTGTGCCCCTGGCAGAGCTGCTGGCAGCTGCCTTTGCCAGCTCAGGATCTGGTAAACCAGACTAAATGTCTACTCACACGTCAAGTTTTTTAGACTAGCACTCCACTGTCAACATTTCAAAGAAATCACGAAAAGACCTCATGTCACAAAAACTGAAGTACTTTTAAACAAACAAACAAAACCCAAAACAAAAAGAAAAAATAAAAAATAAAAAAAAAAGGAAGAAAAAAATAAATCCTTCTCACTCCTTCTCCTGTAAAATGTTGTTCGTGAGTTTTATAAAAGTTTAAAAAAATAGGTTTCCTTCAGGCTAGGCACTGAATAATTTTAAAGGAAAAAATACTTCAAAGACACATTTTCCATTCTATTTGCATTCAGGCATTTTGTTTTTCTGAAAATTATTAACTCAGTAATATCACAGGCTATTCTTCCACGCGCTGTGAGCTTTGKCTACCCAGAAGATAATTTGTCGAGTGCAAAGACCCGTGGAAGGGAGGGAGAAGGCACTCTACAAAAGTTTGTGAGTCATCCCAAGAGATTAGCACAACATTTGCAAGGGCATGCATCCTGGACGTGAAAGTAAGAGTTGCATAGGGTGTACAAGCACCGCAGTTCGCTTTAAAATGAAGACAGAGGAATTTAGACTGGAGAGGTTGAGCGCTCTGATAACACCTGCTCACAGCCACTCTGGCTGCCCCTCTGCCAGGGGTAAMACGAAGCCCAAGCCCTGATGTGTCCACCAAGAAAGAAGGGCTGACACAGGGACCGTGTTTGAATCGGTTGCCACTGCACTGGTCAGAGCGCACCTGCATCTTGTGTCCATCCCCCGCAAACTCCCACAACCCTCAGAGACCAGGGAGTGAAGGCACTTCTGAGACGATTCCTCTCCCAAGGCTCCACCGCGCTCTCTCCCAGCCAGAAGAAGAGAAGATTTGACAGCCCGTTGAGAGAAATTCACGAGCATTAAAAGGRTACCGAGGGAAAGCACTGAGGTTAACGGGATGGGCTATATTAAGGCCATTTACAGCTTTATGGCACCTTCCAAGGGGCATCAGAGCTTTTTACAGCCACGYGGAGCGGTCGGATAGTTACAAACTGAGACAGGTTTGATAGAGTACCCCAGGCCACTCGAAGGAGAGGCAGCACAGTTAACTTCAGAGTCTGAGGTCAGCTCTTGATGTTTTCCTCTTGCGTATCTCATCCACAACTGCTCCCGGGCTCACAACACCGCATAAATCGCAGCCCGTTTTGTGCGAACAGGAGTATTCAATGACACAGAGAACTACCTTCTGATGATTAGGGGGGAAGGGAAATCGGCCACATGCTTCATGCTGTCTGATTTTATTAAACCGCTGAGTACGGGGAAGGGGGGGTTGGTTGCTGTTTTTTCTGCAGCGGCAGCCCCTCTTCCTCATATCCCCGGGTCCTGCTGCACCGCAAGACAGGAACAGGCACTGTCACAACATGACCTAATCCACGGCGGGGACACAGGACACAGTGTCACAGCGGGCGATGGAGCTGCCCCTCGCCCTCCAGGCAGGCACGCCGGGATCAGCAGGGCAAGGGCTGGTCAGAGACCCCGCAAGCACCCCCAAATCGGGGAAATGGCCYACTGATCTCCAGAGGAACGAAACCCCCCATGCCTGGCAGGACGGACCCTAAGAACATCTGCCCCATTGACCTACAGAGCGATGGACCCCAGTGGCCCCTGGGCACGAACTCCTGCAACCCACCAGCCCAAGATGATGGGGTACGCATCCCCCTGAGCCCCTCCAGAGGACATGCGACCCTCAGCCCCCCTGGGGATGGAGCTCAGGGATCATGGGGGAGGCACCTCACTGACACATGGAGGAGGGGCTGTTGCCCCGCACAAACAACTCTGGGTAAGATGAAGAGCCTCAGCCCCGGGCTGGGGAGATGCACCCTGCCCTCCTGCAGGACACGGAACCTCCAGGGAGCTGGGGGAGGCACCCACCATCTCCGGGAGATGCAGCCCCRCTGGCAAAGGCGAGGGGGCTGCCCCTCACCGTCCGCCGGGCACGGAAACCCCCGGTGCCGATGGCGGGGCGGGATGACCAGAGCGAGCGCCGGGCGATGCAGCCCCCGCGTCCCGCTGCGGCAGCGCGGGGGGAGCGCCCAGCCCTGCCCAGCCCAGCCCTGCCCAGCCCCGCGGGAGCGAAGCCGCCGGAGGGGCAGCCCCGGCCCCGCCGCCCCCGCCCGCAGCCGCGCCCGCTCCCCACTCACCTGCGGGACGGGGGCCCGGCGCCCCGACACCTGCCCGGGGCGGGCTCACCGGCCCGGAGCCGCTCTCGCCGCCTGCTGATCCCGGCCCGGCCCGCGGAGCGGAGCGGAGCAGCGGGGGCGGCCCCGGCGGGGCGGGAGCGCGGGGATCCCGGGAGGGGCGGCCCTGGGCGGGCGGTGCCGGGCGGGGCTCCCCTCCCTCCCTTCCTCCCTCCCTCCYTCCCTCGCTCCGCGGGACACCTGGGGCACGGACCGCGCTGCAGGAGCTGCCTGGCATCTGCGGCCCCCGCCGAGCACGCCTTGTTCTCTGACAGGGTTTCAATGTTTTCGGGCACATCGGGATTTTTTCAAGTCCTTTAAACGTTTTCCTTGTATCGCTTTTATCTTCGGTTCTCGCTCAGCGGGCAGTGCTAGTTCCAGGGATGATTTAAATGAACAGTGAATTACCCTTCCCCACCCCCCACCCCACCAAATCTAAACCGATTCTTTCTATTTTTAAATAAAGTTC